GTCCGTCCATCCATCTACCCATTCATCCAGCCTTCCTGCCATCGATTTGCCCGTCCCTAAGTACTTCCCCTTTCTGCCCTCCAGCCGTGCGCACTGCCGGGTAGGGTAACCTGTACTCCAAGAGAGTGGAGCCCAAGCCCCTGGTCCTTGGAAGTCACCCTCCTCTCAGCCTCCATCTCCTCACCCCTGTGCACACAGAGATATCCAGCCCACCCTGCCCACTCATGGGTGGTCCTGAGCATCCATCTGGGAGAGGCCTCAACAGGCACAGGTGACTCTCCTTAGTGAGGACATGCTAATCGCTTTCCTAAAGTCAGTGGTCACAGCCACTGTCCAGAGGAGGGTCACACTGCTGATCTCAGGATCTTTCCTGGTGGCCTCCGCCTCCCACCTTTCCTTTCAGCCCAGTGAACTTCTCCCTCTGCCACTGTGTCTCCATGCCCACCTCCCTGCCAACCTGGCCTGCACCTGACTCCGCCCCGATACTCACGCCTTCAAATTGCCTCCCTGTCTCCTCCCAGCCCTCTCACCAGCAGTTCAGAGAGCAGGGGAGCTTCCTATGCGTGGCCACCCTCCTCCCCTCAGCCAGCCACACACACAGAGCCCGGTACAGCCCCGACCGGTGCCACGAGGACTGGTCATGTGAAGAACTGCTGTCAAGGCCCCCGGTTGGTTCATCAGTGTCCCTGTGTGAAGATGGCCTGGAGCCAGGGCAGAGCCAGAAGCCAAAGGCCTCTGTTGGTCAGAGGGACCATCTCACCTCCTGAGCCCTTTCCCCTTGGCTGCTCAGAAGCTCGGAACATGACCCAGGGCGGCACCTCTGTAGCCATCCTAGGCTTGGCTCTTTCTCTAATAACTGAGTCCTTCCCCGTGCACCCCTCATGGTCCCCCTTCTCAATGATGGCTCCCTCCTGCCCCGGCCCTGCTGCCATCTCCAGCCCCGCCAAGCTCACTTGGGTGCCTCCACCGCCCCGTGGGCCCTCCCCCAGCCCCAGCCCCAGCCCCAGCGCTCCTTCCAGTTCAAGGAGAACTGTCCTGTCTCTGCTGGAAACCCTCCGGCCCCACCTCTCTGGGGGGAAAACCAAAGCCCCCCTGACCCCCAGACCCACAGGCCGGGGCCTCCCTGGCCTCATCTCCCGCAGGGGCCATCCGTAATTGCCCCTGGTGAAATGTCGGCTTAAATATTTGTCCATTTACAAAATCGGGGTGGTTTGTATTCTTAGGGGGCTTTGAGAGGTGTCTGCGCATTCCGGACAGGAGCCCTTTATCGAATACATGGGTGCGGATGTTTTCTCCACCAGCGGCTCGTCTGCTCACCCCCTCCGCCGCCTTTAAAAAGAGCAGACGTTTTATAAACTTGGATCAAGTCTGATTTACCACGTTTTTTAATGGACCGTGTACGTGGTGTTCCATCTAGGAGACCTTCGCTCACTGCCAGTCGGAAAGGTTTTCTCCCAGACATTTTACTCTCTGAGGTTTTAAATGTTGGACTAGGATGCATTTTGAATTAATTTTTTTTAAATAGTGCAAAGTAGGGATCCACGCTCTTTTTTGTACTTTCGATATTCGGTTGTTCCAGCACCATCTGTTGAAGAGATTGTCCTTTCTCCACCGAACAGCCTTTGCAAGTTTGTCGACAATAAAATACACTCATCCCGTCCCCCTCGTCTGTCTGTCTCCGTTAGCCCGGTCCCACACCGTCCTGGTGGCTGTCGCTGCCCGGTAAGCCCCGAGGTCCAGCAGCGCAGCCCCACCGGTCCTTTTTTTCAAGGCTCTGGCTTTTCTCACCCTTTGATTTCCACATGGATTAGCATCAGCTTGTCCATCCCCAAAGCCCTGCTGATAGTTTGACTGGGGCTGCGTTGAATCTCTAGTCAGCCTGGGAGAGCTGGCATGTGACAGTGCCGCACCTCCTGACCCGGGACGCAGACTAGCTCCCCATCACGGCGACAATGCTGCACCACCTGACCCGGGACGCAGACTGGCTCCCCATTGCGGTGACAATGCTGCACCACCTGACCCCAGACTAGCTCCCCATCGCGGTGACAATGCCGCACCTCCTGACCCGGGATGCAGGCTAGCTCCCCATTTCGTCCGTCTTCTGTGGTTTCCCTCAGCGATGTTTTCTAGTTCCTGTGTGCGGGTCTCACGCGTCTTCATCAGCGTTATTCCTGGATATTTCACATTTTTGAGGCTATCATAAATAACATATTCTTTCAAATTTCAATTTCTGATTGTCTGTTACTAGAATCCACAAATAAACCTGATTTTGTATGTGGCTCATAAGAGATCCTGCAACCTTGATAATTTGCTGATGTGGTTGGATGGCGCCTAAGGGTGCGGGTGGTGTGAAGTCACCAGACTGAGCCAGGACATCTCCCAGCCAAGAGTAGCCAAGAGGTCTGGCCGGTGCGGCTCAGCGGTTGAGCATTGACCTATGAACCAGAAGTCAGGGTTCGATTCCCGATCAGGGCACATGCCCGGGTCGCGGGCTGGATCCCCAATCGGGAGCATGCAGGAGGCAGCCGATCAATGATTCTCATCATTGATGTTTCTAACTCTCCCTCTCCCTCTCTCTCTGAAATCAATTTAAAAATATGTATTTAAAAAAGACGGAACTCTTACCTTTAAAAAAAAAAGTGTCCAAGAGGACAGAGGTGACTCTGGGAGCACAGCGGTGGGCCGGCCCCAGCTCCTGTGGGTGATTCCTGACCCGCCCTCCGCCCACTAACCGGGTGGGTTCTGACTGGGTGCTGTCATGTTCTGTTTCCAGACTGGAAGAAACGCTTCATCGGCATCCGGATGAGAACCATCACACCTAGGTGAGTGTCTGGCGACGTTCCTCCCAGCTGCGCCCGTGTGGCCCCAGCCCTGGCCTGGTCACGCCTGGCCGCCTGCAGGTGCTCCCCGGGGCCTGCCGCACTCAGACTCAGTCCCTCTGCCCGCAGTGCCTCTCTCTCCTTTGCCTGATAGACACCCTTGGCTCCCTCAGGACTTCGCTCAGGTGCCCCCTCCTCTAGGAAGCCTCCTAGATTTAGTTTCCTGTGGCTGCCATAGCAAATCCCTATCAACTTGGCTGAAAGCAACAGAAAATTATTCCCTCTCAGTTCTGAAAGTCAGAAGTCCAAAATCAAGGTATTGGCAGGTCCCTGCTCCCCCTGAAGGCTCTGGGGAGAACCCTTCCCAGCCTCTCCCGGTGCCTGGTGGCTCCAGGTGTCCCTTGGGTTGTAGCTACATCACTTCAGCCCCTGTGCGTCCCTTTCCAAATACCCCCTTTCTTTCTCTTATGAAAACGCCAGCATTAGGCTCAGGTGCCACCCTCGGTCGGGATGACCTCATCTTGAGATCCCCAACCAGCTGCATCCGCAAAGACCCTGTTTCCAAACGAGGTCACGTTCAGAGGTCCTGGGTGGGCAGGAACTTTAGGGGGACACATTCTTCCTCCACAGACTGCTCCAGTGGGGGGAGGTGCCTCCTCTTAGCGTGCACCGCCCTGCTTCCCCCCGCCCCCCCCACGGCGTCGGTCCCCGGATGTAGGAGTAGCCCGTGTGTACCCAACCCGCCTTGACCGCGGGCTCCTTGGGAGCGAGGACTGTGTCCCGCTCACCCCTCTGCTCCACCCAAGTAGCAGGTCGGCAGCGGGGGGTGCCTGGGGATCCCGGATGAGTGAGAGAAGGAAGGGGCAGGGGAGCCAGGGAGGGAGGATTTGAAGGAAGAAGCCGCCGTGGTGGGGAGCTGTGGGGAGAGCTAAGGGGCAGCCCACTGCCCACACCCGCAAACCCACACGGGACCTGCAGTGATGAGTCTTCCTGTTTCAGCAGCTGCTCGTCTAGGGATTAATTCTGAAGGCAACTCGTAATCAAGACCAATATACCAGTTTATCTTTTAGGTGTGTTCTTTCTCTCTCTTTCTCTCCATCCGTCCATCCGTCCATCCACCCGGCCTTCTGTCCGTTCCACCATTCACCATTGTTCATCCCTGCTTCCATCTGCCCCNCCTGGCCTTCTGTCTGTCCGTTCCACCATTCACCATTGTTCATCCCTGCTTCCATCTGCCCCTTTGTCCCTCCCTCCCTGCCTCCCCGCGCCTCTCGCCCACCCTGCCAGCCTCCTAGTCATGCACATTCACTAAGTTTTCCCTTGAGGAGCCCATGTGGAGTGGGGGGCCCAGACAAGAGCCAGGGACAATCCAGAGCGGCCGGTGGCAGGACCGGGCAGCATAGGGGCCCAGGGGAGGCTCCTCGTCTGGCCCGGTGGTGAGGGGAGGCTCAGAGGAAGAGCCGTAAACAGCGAACTCTCTTTTCAGTTTGGTGGAAGAGCTGAAGGCCAACAACCCGGACTTCCCGGAGGTCAGCAGTGGGATTTACGTGCAAGAGGTTGTTCCAAATTCCCCTTCTCAGAGGTAGGCTCCACCAGGGGAGGCAGGGAGGCTGGATGGGGGCAGGCAGGCATCCTGGTGGGAGTGGGCCTGGGCTGGGCCTGCCTCTCTAGCCTTGGGCTTCCTCGAAAGATGTGACGTGCGAGTGGCCGGTGGGATGCTGGCCTGTCCTGTGAGCCAGGGGCAGGCTGGAGAGGTGATGGATCCCTTAGAGCATTGGCCTGCATGACCCCTGTCCTCAGGGGCAACAGAGCAGTGGAGCCCCACCTCCCACCTCCCGAGCTGGGAACCAGCCTGACGAGACTAGTGGCTGGCCTAGGTCCTTCTCTTTTCTCATCTGGGAAATGGGCACACTCCAGCCTACTCTACCCAGGAGACGGTGTCACATCAAGCTCTAGAGAAAGGCTGAATGTTTCAACACCACAAGCCCAGACAGTGTGCACACTGACGTGGGTGACCCAGGCCCCCAGGAGGGCTCTGCACAGTCCCTCCCGTCCTTGGCCGAGGCCCCCATGGTACCGTCGGTGGGCTGCGTCAGATCGGTGGCTCTCAGCTGTCATTCCAGGAGCTGGAGGCCGTCCACACTGGGGTTTGGGCTGCTCTGAGGGCTGAGGATGGGGCATAGAGTGGAGAGGAGCCAGGCAAGCAGGGCTCCCACCCCCATGAGCCCCTCAACTGGGCGGGGCCCCGGCCTTGTTTTATGCACTGTGCTGCTTCAGGGGCCCGCGCTGGGGGACCCAGCCCCTCACATCCTTCTGTGATAAACACTGGGAGCGCGCATGCCAGGCCCCAGCATGCCTGCAGGAAAGTTGTTGAAGTGTAGATCCACGAAGCCCAAGGGTGACCACCTGGCTCTGTTCCCCTAAATTCAGCAGAGCAGTTACCGAGATCAGCCATGTGCCAGGTACTTCAAGAGCTGCAGAGGTAAGATCGGTGGTGACAGTGGCTGCCGGTGACCGAGGCTGCATCCTGAGCTGGGCGTTCCACATGCATCGCAGCCCGGGCGGTGCAGGGTGCTGCTCTCACCCCATTCCTTAGATAGGGAGACTGCAGCTTAGAGAAGGTACCCCTCCAAGGTCACACGGCCAGCACATGTGGATCTTGGCACAATCGACCAGACATCTGACAACTGCACCACCCTGCGTGCCCTCCCTCTGGGTGGCAGGGAAGGTCACAGCTAGTGGAGCGCAGAAGGGAGGCCAGCCCAGCAAGCTCCGCCTCTGTGCCAAAGCCTTAGAAACTGTGACACATGGGGATCAACTCCTCGACCTTGTCGTTGCTGAGCCTGTTTCCACACAGGACTGCAGGTGTGGACACCGAGGCTCAAGGGGCACAGTGCCTGGCCCGAGGCGGTCCCGTGGGAAGGCAGAACTTAACCTGCCTTCTGATGCGGGGAAGAAGTAGGCTTTTTTTTCAATATCTTCACCTGAGGAAGTTTTTTCCATTGATTTTCAGAGAGAGTGGAAGGGAGATGATAGATAGATAGATAGATAGATAGATAGATAGATAGATAGATAGAT